GAGGTGACTCGGGCCGGCGGGCGGGAGCGAGTTGGGGGGCGTGCGGAGCTGAGCGAGGCTGGCGGGCGGGGAGGAGGGAGCTTCGGCAGCCGCCGAGGCCGAAAGAACAGCTCGGATTTCCCGGCAGGTGGAGGACGGCGGCGGGACCTCCCGCGCCCTCTCTGGGCGGGAGGCGCGGCTCCGACCTGCTCAGGGCCCAGAGGCGGCACCGCCCGTGGCTTTTACAGGGGTGCGTGCGCAGGAGCTGCGGCTCGAATCTGCCCACCGGGGAAGGGGTGACTCCGGGGGGATAAGGACAGACTAGGTGGCTTCCACTCCAAGACAGACTGGGGCGCAGTCTGATCAGGATCGCCCCTCCCAGGTGCGCGGGGCCGTTTTGCCCTTCCCCTTACTGCGCCCTCCAGCTAGACGCGCATTCCAGCTGGCTCAACTCCGGGGGCCGAGGCGAGGACCAAGGCTGAGCTGGCAAGGAGAGGTGGCAAGCTCCTGGGCCTGGGTAAGCATCCCCGGGAGAGGAGCTTGGGATGAACTAAAGTCAAAGAAGCGCAAGGAGTAGGGAGAGGCAGCAGACAAGGCCGAGGCAATGGCATGTCCCGGAAGGGCTTTCCTTGGGACTCTCCCAGGCCCCCAGACCTGCCACTTTCTGTCCCTCTTCGCCCTCGCAGCGTTCCCTGCGCTCCACAGGAGGGCACACCGCGGCGCCGCCTCTGCGCGCCCAGATCTGGTGCAGCGCAAGGCCTGAGCACTCAGCCCCAGCCGCCCTCCCGGACCTGAAGCTCGCCCATCGGTCTCCGGAGCCGGCTGGCCCCTGGCTCCACCGAGCCCCCCGGACATCCTCACCCGGGGCTGTGGAGCCCGGCCTTGCTTCCTCGGTTTCCAGCCTCCCGTCGCCTGTCAGCGTTTCCAAATCTGCCCTTGCTCCACTCAGCCGATTCCAGCCCTCCGTCGGCCCTCTCCCATTTCTCCCACTTCTTCCTCTCCTCTGCTTGAATTTGACTCCAGTAGCCCCCAAAACAGGATTTGTACCAAAGCTGCTACACCAAATTTAGATCTCCACACGCCCCTGCGTTTTGTTTTTAATTGCATTAACTAAGTATACACTTTGCAGCCCGCTAGGCGGTTTGCATGGAAATGATGTTTCCACCGCCTTCCTCTCCATTTGGCTTCAGTCGAGGGCTTCTCAGAGCATTTTCAAAGAACCAATATGGGCCACATATAAAATGACATACTGGGGTCCCCATCATTGAAAAAACATGGAGGGTTTTACCGGGACTCTATTGGAAGTTTTCTCACAATAAGAGTTTGTGCCTTCTCTTGGAAGAAATTTCACCTACTGTCTCCCCAAAGACTTGCAAAGAATGACCCTGTTCCAGCAAAACACACCAGGGCAACCTTGATGGAGCATATCCAGAAGTATCCAGCCCTTGGAAGACTTACTGAATTATGAGCTATTTTATGTCCCAAACCCACCTGGACAAGATATGAGATTGTTTAATGCAAATTCATCCAATTCCTTATAATGGGATCCCCCAAACAGGACAGTGTGGCATGTCTGTCCACGCACACCCACCACACTGTGTGAGTGTCTACAAACACAAGCATTGGTGTGTAAGAGCTAGTGATAGCTGACATTCATCCATGCTTGCAACATACCCACTAAGCTTACTTTTTCTAAAATCACCTCCTCACGGATGCTTTGAGCAGTGCCTAGCATCTAGTAGACAATCTGGGAATATTTGCTGAGCCACTGAGTGACTGATCTCGTTGAACTCCATCCATCAGGTAATATTACCAGGCCCACACAACAGAGGGAGAGACTGAGGCCCAAAGCAATTAAACCGGTTGCCCATGGTGGCTCAGCAAGGAAATGCCACAGTTGGCATTTGACCCAAGAAATTTGACTCCAGGGCCTGTGTTCCAACCACTGCAAGTAGTGCCTTCCTAAAATAGGCCTCCAGATTCTATCCACCCAACATTTTCTTATGTATTTGTTTCTTGTCTGTCTCCCCACATTGAAGTGCAAACTCGTGACAGAAAGGGTCTTGAGTTTTGCAGAGTCCCCCAGCACCCAGAGCAGTGCTGGACGTGGGAAGCACTCAAAAATACTTAACGAGCTGTTTTAATTAACTAATTAAGATCTTTTATGCAAGACCCTGTCTTAAACCAAGAGAGGAAAGAAACACTTAGGGCAGGCACAGACGATGGAGTTTCTGCCGTCATGACACATGCCGAGGGGTTGGGAAATTTCTGCGCACTAAATCAGAATTGAAAAGGGCTGCTCCAGCAGGATGCTATGGTCCAGGAAGATGAGGCTCAGAGAGGTTAAGGGCTTTGTCGAAGGTCACAGGGCCAGCACATGGAAAGCCAGGGCTGGTTGCAGACTGCAGACTCCTAATCTTGGCTGGTCTGCCACCCCACCCCACTGCACCCCACCGTGGTGCTTCCCAGCAAGATCAGGGCTGAGGGCTAGGGCAACAGCCTGGTAGAAGACTAGGTCACAGACACCTTTCCACGTGAGTTGAGATTTTAAAGCACTTCTAAATTTGATTTTAAGGGAAAAAAAAAAAACCTTAGCGAAAAGAGACAAAATCTAGACAGAAAAGTCCATTTCAGAATCTGCCTTCAATTTCGGTAAAATATTGCCTGTCACCAGGGCGTTTGAGTATGGTCCTCAGAGGAGACTTGCTCTGGCTGCTGCTCTGGCTTTAATTAACAGAGACTGCCCCCTGTTTGTGACAAGGAGAGTGCAGGATCCTGCTTCCAAAAGAAGCCGACCTGATCCACCCAGTCTGGTTTATTTGCCAGGTCCCAAACCTTAAGCCTCCTCTCCCAGTGAGCTTGGCTCAAACCAAATTCCCTTCCTGCTCCTGCCTGCCGCGGCTGCCGCTGACCCCTGGAATATTGCTTGAGCCTCCTTCCCAAGCCTTTGAAAAATATTTAGAAGAAGGAGGAATCATCTTTGTTCATTTCACTCTTCAAAGGAAGAAAGTCGATTTCCTCTGTGTATGTCAAGTCAGTAAATAGTCCCTACCTCCTAATAGATGTGTGATTATTGGGAACATACGATTGAGAAGGTATTTCTTTCAGGGCTCCTGGGAGGGTTTTATAAACTTCCTAATTGAAATACCTGGCAAGTTCATGGAAGATGGAAAATCATCATCAAATTTCACCCCCCAACACTACCCAAATGAATACATGCAAATGTGTTGAAATTAAAATGCAGCTCTTAATGAAAGTGCTTTCTATGAAAGAGATGATGACATTATTATTTACAACACAGGCACTTTTAATATCTAAAGAAGCATCTTATTTGCTCCCGCCTTAATTATGTCTGACTGCAGGGCGTGCTGCAAGGAGAATGAAATTGTACTCCCCAAGATGAGGGGAGGGACGACGTAACAAAGGATGCTTGCTCACCAGGACTTGCAACCAATGTTCATAAACCACTCAACGAATTAGATTAGTTGCGCTGCAGCCCTCACTCGAAGGAGTTATTTGTTAATTGTCCTCATCAGGTGGCTTTTAGGGTTTCAAAGAGGTTTCTAAGCAACTGTTAGCCTTGAGAAAAAGAGAGGAAACAGAAGCTGTTAGTTCAAAAACTCTGGAGATCCCCCCCGTGAAATTCGAAACTGGCCCCCTGCAAGGAGGGCAAGGAGAGAGACAAGGAAGAGGCAGGGCACTCCAGATGGGTAGATGGCAGGTGTAACAAGCTAGGGAACTCACATTCGAGGCTGGTCTTGGGCAGCCGCCAGAAGAGTAGATCTCTGCACCTGCCCGCCAGCATCTGAAAAATTTGTATAGAAGCCTTAATGGGGTTCATTTAACGTCTGCAGTCCAGATGGTCTCAACAACGTCTTATACTCTCAAGGCTGCGTCTTTGAAACGGCTGCTAGCTTGGGAACGGTGGGCAGAACGTTTATTTCAAGGACAGGGGAGGGAGTGAGGAGCCTCTGCTTGCCCAGATCAAGCTCGCAGGTCCACTCGCAATGACCTCCTCCAATAGAAGCCAACATGTGGCTAGCAACTTGCCAGGTTCAAACAACACACTGATTTGATATATTTTATTCTCTTCGGAAAAGATAAGGGAAGCCTTATAAAATAAATGAAGTGGGTGTAAAGTATGGTTCCCCCAGACCAGAGGTGGTATGTGAATGATTTTTGGTGGCAACTCAACAAAGATTTTTTTTTAATGGTTTTATTTTTATTTCAATGTGTGTCAGAAAAAAAATGATGATGCATCAAACACATGGCTTCATGGGTGTAAATGTTGAAGGTGTAGTTAATTCTTTTAAGCCCATCAATTTAAAGTCAATTTAAGAAAAATAATAAATACATTATAGTATTTATAACAAAATACAAATAAAGAAAAGAATATGAAGTGTCTAGTACTGAAAACGGAAGTTGAGGAACATGGGCTTTGGTATCAGAACAGGGCTTCTCCACTTCAGCCCTGTGGACATTTTGGACTGGAGAATTCTTTGCTG